TTTTTTTTTTTTTTTTTTTTTTTTTTTTTTTTCATATATTACTAAAATTTATAAATAAATTTGATTTTTATTTATTATTCCTTTTAATTTGATAAATAATAATTAAAATTTTTTAAAAAAAACTAAAAAAATTAAAATAATATTATAATTTTTTCCAAATTTTTTTTAATGTATTTTAATAATAGGAGAGTGTTTTTTCTTTAAAATAAAAAAAAAAATACAAAAAAACAATTTAGATAGAAAAAAAAAAAAAAAAGGCCTTTTTAATGCACACAATTTTTATTCATAAAAATTGAATTCATTTTTTATTAAAATAATTGTTAATTTATATTTTGCTGACATACTTTTTTATAAGCACAATATGTATATTATTTGTTAATTTTGTTTTTATCACATTTATCTTTTTTCTTCTTATTTTATTTTAATTATATATTTTTATTTTATGAATAAATGGATGATGAAGAATCTTATGAAAGTGGCATTAGTAGCGATGATAGTTTAAGTGTTGCAAAAAAAAAATATGTAACAAATTCTGAAGGGTGTTGTTATAATTTCTCGAATGAAATATTTAAGTTAAGTGTAATTTCTTATTATTTTTGGATAGGATTTTGTTATCTTATAGGATCTGTAGTATTTTCAACAGGATATAATAGTTCATCTTTAAGAATTCAAGATCAGATTGTGTGTGCAGCTAGCTCAAATGTTTATTTATTTTCAATTTTGTGGTTTTTCATAGGTGTAATATCTATAGTTACTTGTATTGGGTATTCTCTATCAATCGATGAAGAAAATAATAAAATTTACTCAAAAAATTCTCCTTTATTTATATATATTTTAGGAATATTGTGTAAAACAATACCAACAATAGTAAGAGTTATTCATATTTTTAATTTATTTCAATTATATCTAATAACACTTGATATTATGTTTTTACCAGAATGTAATTCATTTTATGTTAGATTTATTTTATTTATTATTCATATTCTTTGGTGGTTAATTGTTTTTTTTGGTATTATTTCAAGAAAAAAAATTTTCTTACCTCCTCATTTATATAAACCATTAACTAACGACACTGGATTTGTTGTCTATATAAATAATTTACTTCATTCATTTGGATTGTAATCTTTTCTTTTTCTTTTTCTTTTTTTTTTTCCATAAAACTATTTTTTCATTTACTTTTTAGTAATAAGCAAATATTTTACTTGTTCCTTTTTTTTTCATTTTATTCCATTAAAAATTTAAAAAAAATAAAGGCATATGTCTTATTAAATTCAACAAAAAAATAAACACATATTATATATATATATATATTTAAATAATTAAGAAAAAAAATTAAGATATTTATATTATTCATAATTAATACTAAAGAAATTGTTTTAAATATTTTTATATTAAAAAAATATAATTATTCCTATAAATATAATAATACTTATATTATGGAATAAATAAATCTTAAATAACTAATGTTTATTTATGAAAAGAGTTTTTTATATTATAATTTCTTAGTTTTATTCTCCCATCTTTTACGTGATTTTTCTTTTCTCTTAAAAATATTTTTTTTTCTTTTTTTCAGACTCTTTTCATCCTAACAAAGAAAATTTAAATATATAAATTATTTATATCAAGTTTAAAATTAAAAATGTAATTAAATTTTCATTTGCATATCTTTTATTCTTTTATCATTTTATTTTTTTAATATACATAAACTTTTTCTCCTTTAGATTTAAGTATCGCCTTCTTTACTTTCAATAAATGTTCTGCCTTTTCTTTTTGTTCAGTATCCAAGTTACTTAATAATTCTTTTTCTTTTTTTATTTTTCTAAAAAAAAAAAAAAAAAATAAAATGAACAATATAGATAAACAAATAATAATTAGGACATGGTATAAGAAAAAATATATAAAATTTTAAGTTTACTTGAAATTTTTTTTTATTTGAACAATCTTTGGAAGATTTTTTTTTTTTTTATTTTCATTTAAATTTGGTATATTTCCAATAATTAAATCATCCGAAATATCATTCTGTGTATTTTAAAAAAAAAGGATAAAAAAAAATAAATAAATATATATTCATATATATTCATATATATATATATATATTTATATTTATATATATGATATTTTTCTTTATTCTACTGACATTTGCTTTATTTATCGTCAGACACTTTTGATCTTTTTTTATTGATCTTATGTAGTTTCTACTTTTATTTTTTTTTTTAGTCATGTTTCAATTTAAAAAAAAGAATTAAAATAAATAAAAAAAATTTGTATTAAAGTCTCTTTTTATATTTTATATGTCTTCTATTTAAAAAAAAGGATTAAAATAACATAATATAAAATGATAACAATAATTTTATTTTTTTTAAGAAAAAAAATTTTTTAATCGCATATTTTTATTTAAAAAAAAAAAAGAATATAAAAAAAATAAAAGAATAATATTGAAAATTAAAGCTATATATTCTAAGTCTTTCTTTGGTTTATTTTTTAATAAAAAATTTTTTATTAGTATATTTTCAAATTCTTTATATAATTTTATAATTTTAAAAATAAAATTTTTTGCAAAAAAATTGAAAAAAGGAATTCATATATTAACCAAAAATATGAGCATTAAATATAATACATTTTAATCTTGCATTATAATTGAAGAAAAAAATATTTAAAATAATGAATAAATAAAAAAAAAAAAAAAAAAAAAAAATTTAAATAAAAAAATGTCTCAATTTCTAAAAAAAAAAAAAAATAAACTTCATTTAATGTAATAAATTATAAAAAAAAATACATAAAAATAATACTTTTTTGTTTAGTTTTCACGTTTACACCAATGCTCATATATAACTCTTTTTAAATACATTCTTTTCTTTTAATAGTACTAATAAATACTATTTTATAAAAAGAATTCCTTTTTTTTAAATAGACTTTTTAATGTTTTGGTTACCATTTAATTTAAAATGATCAATAATTCCTTTACAAGAAAAATATATAAATGAAAACGTTACTAGAAGCGATAACGTTTGAAAACTAAGACCCTTCTTTTTATTTCTCTCTTTTTTAAGTTTTTTAATTTTTTCATCTACACGATAAGCAGTCGTTATGTTAGCTTTCTCGTCATTCTTTGTATTATCATCATTATATAAATAGTTATATACAGTTTGTTCATAAAAATTAATTATTTTTTCACTTTGTATTTTAAATATAGTGCTATCTAAATCTAATACAATTTCTCCATTGAAAAACTCTGGGGCTATCATTATGAAATAAGTTAGTTAAAAAAAATGTATTTCATATATTATTATTATTATCACAATAAAATGATAATTAAAATTAACTATAACTTATAACATTTTTTTTGTATATAAAAAAAAATAAAAAAAAAAAAAAATTAATTTCCTTCTACTTTTTTAAATTTATTAATAATGAACTTGTCACATATTAATAAAAACAATAAATATAAGATAAAATATACTATTTAAAAAAAAAAAATTAATTTCATGCATCTCCTGTACTTTATGCTATGGTGAAGTAGGTCCTTTTTTAAAGAATAATAATATATCTTTAAAAAGGAATAATCATATATGAATTATTTCGGGAAGAAATGATAATAATATTTTTTTAAATATTCATTAATTTAATTGAATATTTAAATAAAACTCTTCTTACCTCTAAAACTTCCAAAAAAAAAAAAAAAAAAAAGAGTTATTTTCACTCTACAAACTAAAAATAATAATTCAATTTCAAGGTATTCATATAAAAAGGATCATAATTTACTAGAAAATTTTCATAATAGATAAAAGGGAAATTCAATTTTATCTATATAAAAAAAAAAAAAAAAAAAAAAAATTAATATTAATATATATGAATAAAAGCAAATAAAAATAAGAATTTAATTATAATGGTATTTAAACTAATAAATATATGAGTTTTTTAAAATGAGTATTATGTGACAAAAAAAAAAAAAAAAAAAAAAAAAAAAAAACAGTAATAAATAAAAGCTCCGAATTGTGTTTTCTAAATTATATTAACTATATATTTTTTTTTATTGTATTTTCATTAATTTTTCTTATTATTTTTTTTTTTTATTTTTATACTTAATTATTAAAAATCTTACTAATACAAATATTTTACAAATATGTTATATTCTTCATAAAATCCAAACATACAATTTTAAAGGCAAATATTCCCTTAGTATGTATTAATATGCATGCATTATTATAAATTATTGTTATTATATGTTTTATGTAATTACATTATAATGATACTTAAATAATCACGTTATAAATTTTTTTTTAGACCTTTTTAATTTAATCATCTAAATAAAATGTATTTTTATTTTTAAATTAAATAATTAACATATGAGGTGCAATAAATATATATGTATTTTTTTTTTTTTTTTATATGTATTTATGTAATTTTTAAAAAAATTCCTAATTTATTTTATTATAAAATTAAAACTATTTTTTCATTAATTTATTACAATTCTTCATTATTTACAACATTTAATATGAAATTTTAAAATTTGATTTAATAAATATTAGTGTTCAAAAGGAAAATGAATAAAAAAAAAAAAAAAAAAAAAGTTCATTAGTATTGCACTTTTTTTAAATACACACAGCACACACATGCATATATATATATCTTAAACAATATCCTTTTTTTATAAATATTTTACTTTAAAATATAATAAGTTTATATTGTTATATATTTAATTGTTTTATTACATCATGAAAATATCAATAATTTTATTTTTTATGTTTACAAAATGAAAAAAGAAGAAATATATGTATTTAATAATGTTGATGATCTTTATGTGTAAAAAATACACATTAATTAAAAGGAGAAAAAAAAAAAAAAAAAAAAAAAAATTAAGGAGATACTATAAATATATTCTCCACCTACTATAAAAAAATTTTTTTAACTTAAAAAAATTAAAAAAAAAACTATAAAAAGAATATATATAGTGCAAAAAAAAAAAAAAAAAAAAAAAATATTACAAAATTAATCAAAGAAAAACGTTGATCCTATTATTTTTTTATTTGTATAATATATGTTTCATTTGTTCATATAATTTAAAATCAAAAAAATTATTATTTTTAAAATTCTGATAATTTTCTTTTAAATTTTGGTATGAAATGATAATTAAATAATAATTCTCTTTATTTATATATAATTCATTATTTACAATATAATTCATTAACATATTTAATAATAATATAATTTCTTTTGAAGATATATTATTATATGAGTTTAAAATGAATAATCTAGATAAAGTTTCAAACATATTCAATTTATTTAATTCATTTAATTCAAGGTGATCTATTTTCTCCAATTTCTTAATGAGGAAATACAAAATATTGTTATAGAATTCAACAATTTTCTTTTCAGCTTTTTTTTTTTTTTGAAACTGCTGAAAATCCCTTTTTTCATTTTCACTATTTCTCTTCTTATCTTCAATGTTTTCATAAAATTGTAATGAGACAGTGTATAAAGAAAGGGAGTTTATTAAAAGTATAACTTCTTCATCATTTAATTTATTATTATAATTTTCTTTAAACAAATAGAAAAAAGAAGTAATGTTATCCATTAATTTTAACAAAATATTACTTGTTCCTTGAGATTTATTCGAAATGTAATTAGATGTTTTATCATTATAATTATTAGAACATAATGATAAATAATGTTCAAGAGAAAAGTCATAATAATTAATAAAATTTTCATACTTGTAAATGTATAATGAAACTGATAAAATAATATTCTTTATATTTTTAAAAAATATATTAGTATCAAAAGAAACCTTCAAACTATCAAAAAACTTATCAAAAATTAACAGTAACGTATTAAAAGTATAGTTACGTAAAAAATATCTATTTTTATTAAACAAATAATCTGTATTATTATTATTATTATTATTACATTTGTTACTTAAGGATTTCTTGTTCATATATTGATCAAATATATTATAATATAAAAAAGAAAAATTCTCTTTTTTTTCTTTTTTTTTAAATTTCTCATCAATTAAAAGATCAGAATTATCATTTTCTTTAATCTCATAAGAAGGAATAATACTCGAATAATAATATAATATTTTCTCTTTATCATTATCTTTTAATGAATTTGTAATAGTTAAAAATTTTAAATAAAAAAAGTATAGTATGAATAAAATATCTTCGTTTACTTTTTTATTTATATCTAATATATTTTTAAAGTTTGTACAAAATTCATTTATGAAATATATGAAATCTACAACTAAATCAAGTTTTATTTTTTTTACATCTATCTTCTCATAATTATATAAAAATTCATTTAAATTTTCATTTTCACAAATAAATAAATTCTTTATATCTTCCTGATTAAATTTTATTAAACCATTAATATTATTTTCTTTTTCTTTATTATAATAATTATTTTCGTTTTTTTCTTTTTCGTATATATCAGCTTTAATTAAACAGTAAAATCTTATACTGTCTTTATAAACTTCTATTTTGTCTTCAGAAAATTTTGCATATTTTAGTAATTCAAATAAATCGATTTTATTAAAAAAAGGAAATAATACATATTTTTTTAAACTTGTTATAATGTTATAAAAAATAAGGAAATTTATAATTTTAATATTTACATATAATAAATGATTACTATAATTATTATATTTATCTGTTTTTTTTTCAGTAATTTTTATAATGTTGTTATGGTAATAATAATCGTTAATTAGAAATAATTTTAAGTTTTCATAAAACTCAACATTGTTCATATTTTTTAATGATAACAGGATTATTTCTAATTCTTTTAAATTTAATTTTACTTCAGGATAATTTTTTTTATCATATAAAAAGTTTCTTAATTGATTAATATTATTCATAATTTTATAATTTTTAAGAAGGAAGGGAGATATCTTAATAGTTTCATAAAACAAATCACTATTTTTTTTATCGCTTAAAAAAAAGAAGCACTGAAACAATAACAATAAATCATTTTTATTGTAAAAAGACAAATTATTCTTGTCATAAAAAAGCATAAGAGAATTATTTATACGAATATTATTCTTTAAGCATATTTGTAAAAAAAAAATATCATTTTTTATATTGGATATAAAATTATTTTCACTTTTTTTATTCATTAATTGATTACTAACTTGTTCTTTATTCCTAATTTGTTTATTAGAACAATTCATTTTTAAATTAAAAAAATAAACTAACAAAAGATGAAGAAAATCTTCATAATTTTTTTGCCATTTACTATATATTTTTATTAATATTAAAACTTGTTCAATATTTAAAAAGTGTAAATGTGATAAAAAATTTTGTATAAACTTATTTAAAATTTCAAAAGGTAGGATATTGTAGATATAAAAGAAACTCAAAATAAAAACACACTCTTTTGGTTTAAATGATAAACTAATAAATTCTATTCTATCTAGAATATTTAAATAAAAATCATAATTTTTGTCATTTTTCATATCCTTTTCATTATCATAATCAATATCAATAATATGCTGCAATATTTTATTTTCATTAAAGAAAATTATTTTTTCATCCTTAGAATAACTAATTCTGTTATTTATATTGTTATATATTTCATTATTTGAATTGTAATTTTTATAACTATCTACATTATTATTATTACTTAATGATTTTTTTTTATGTCTGTTTGAGTTATCTTCTCTAAATAAGTATTCTGAATGTTTTTCTAGAATTTCCACAATTTGATCTTTACTCAAAAATTTAATTGGTTTTCTTTTGTTTAAATAGCTAAAATAAAAATTTTTGTTATTATCAATAGTATCAAAAAATTGCGAATAATTTGAATCATTAAAATTATTAAAAAAAAAAATATCATCATTTGCAAAATAATAGTCATTTTCTATATCCCACATTAGACGAGGATCATTTTTTGAGAATAATTTATTATAATTATTTTGTTTCTTTAAATTTTCTAAATGTTCAGAATTTTCAAAGTAGTCATAATAATTTTTTATATTATAAATATCTTGATTGTTTTGTATATTATTTTCTATAACAACTGTCTTCATTTCTGTTGTTTTTGTATTTTTATAATTTATTTTTTCAATATTCCACTTATCATAATAATTAATATATTCATCAAACTGAAATAACTTATTTTTTTTTAAGTTCACATTTTCAATTTTATTATTATTAGTAATATCAAATAAATTTAAAACATCTTTTGTATTATCTTTAGTTTCATCTTTTTCCTTTTTCAATTCCTTAATTTTTTTTCTTTTTTCTTTTTTAATCATATAATTTAATTCATCTATATCAACATCATTTTGATTTCCTTCCTTTTTTAAAATTTCTATTTCTTTTCTCCATATTTTTGAATTATTATTTTTCACTTCTTCAATCTCTTTGCTCATATAACTAAAAAATTTTTTCAATTTTTTATTTATATGATTATTTTTAAATAATGTTCTATTTAAATTCATTTTTTTTTAAATATATATATAGAGAGAAAGAGAGAAAGGACTTAACAAATAATCATTCTAATATAGATATATACATGAATCTTTCTTCACATTACCTTTTCTTTACAACTTACAATTTTTTTTTTATTCATTTTATATTTTTATAATATTTTATTTTTTTTTTTTTTCATTCTTCTTAAAAACATTTATACTTATATCTGTTCCACTATCTATTTCATAATAATAATGAAGAAATAAAACAAAAAAAAAAAAAAAAAAAAAAAAAAAAAAAAAAATTTTTTTTATTTTTTTTT